CCACTTCTTTCTTCGTGGATGTCTTTCTTCTCAGGCTTCACTCTGTTCTTCCTTCAACAAGCAGTTATTAAACACCTACTGTGTGCCAGGCACCGTGTCAACGCTGGGATAGGATTGCAACGGAAGAGGGAGAGACAGGCAGTTACGGGGGCTCAGATGGAATCAGAAGGGAGCGAATGGAGAGGATGAATAAATGATGAGCGAATGAATGAACGAGTGAGCGAGTGTTTGAAAGGTCATGTGATCTTCACACCGGCCTAGCACAGCTTTCATCTTGTCACCTCCCTGCCCCAGACTTTGACGCTGTGTTCCAACTCCCAGGCTGAGGGCTGTCTCCTTTTCGTTTCTGTGGCACTGGGGATGGACCCCAAGTATTCACACATGCTACACAGTGCTCTTCCCTGAGCTGTCCCTCCGGCCCAGCCTGCTGGCTCGACACGCTCTGCTTCCAGCCTTCTCTTTATTTCCCCCTAACCTAAGGGATAAGCCATTCATTATGTGTGTTTGTTCTCCCTGTTTAGAAATTTCACCCTAAATTCTGACTCTGAAATGGTATTTATCTGAAGGACAAGAACCCTGGAGGCTGATGGGAGGTGGCATGGAAGAACCAGAGCTGACGTGGAAGGATAAGCCAAGCAAACCCTTTCCTCCTCAACTTGCTTTTGGTGGTGGTGTTTCATCATAGCAACAGTAACGCTAACTAAGACAGGAGCCATCCCCTGAAGTGAGAAGTCGCGACAGTGGGTCAGGAGAGGAAGAAAGAATGCGACATTGTTTACAAATAAGAAAGTACAGATGGACATGGAGGTATTCACCTATAACCCCAGCCCTCAGGGGCTGAGGCAGGAGGGCTAGACCAAGAGCTCGAAGTCTGAGCTACAAAACAAGGCTTTACCTCTCCACCACCACCACCACAACAACAAAACACCCTCCCCCCACAGGCATAGTAGGTTGATGGAGGAAGGTCATTGGTTAAAAAATAAAGAAACTGCTTGGCCCTCATAGGTTAAAACATAGGTGTGAGGAGTAAACAGAACAGAATGCTGGGAGAAAGAAGCTGAGTCAAGGAGTCGCCATGCCATGATTCTCCCACTCCAGGCAGACGCAGGTTAAGATCATTCCTGGTAAGCCAGCTCGTGGGCTACACAGATTAATAGAAATGGGTTAGATCGATATGTAAGAACTAGCCAATAAGAAACTGAAACTAATGGGCCAGGCAGTGTTTAAAAGAATACAGTTTCTGTGTAATTATTTCGGGGCATAAGCTAGAGCTAGCCATGTGGGCGGCCGGGTGCTGGGGTCGCAGCCCCGCTGCTCCTATTACAACAGTAGGTCATGGCTATCATCCCAGCACTCTAAAGGGTGAGACAAAAGATTGCCATGAGTTTGAGCTACACACTGAGCTCCCGTGCAGCCTGGGCTACAGTATAAGGCTCAGAAAAGAGAAAGGAAAGGGGCAATGAGAAAGGTCCATGGAAGAAATGCAGAACAAGGAGGCAAAACTGTTGCCCTCTTCGCCACGGCCTGTCTGCTGCAGACCATCAACAGTTCAGGCAGGCAGATGTCTAGTTGGTTGTGGTCTTTGTGAGTTCTTGCAAACACTGGCTCAGTGTGTGTTAAGAACAGAGGGGCTGGCCTAGAGTAAATTCAGACAGCAACTGGGAGTCCCCAGCTGTGACTTAAAGCCCCATTCCCTGTTCACCAACTGGCTCTACCATGAGTTCCGGTTCACTACTGGCTCTACCATGAGTTCCGGTTCACTACTGGCTCTACCATGAGTTCCGGTTCACTACTGGCTCTACCATGAGTACCAAAGCAGCAAGGAAGCCCATGGACGTCTGCCAGCCTGCCAGCCAATCTCTCTCCTCCCTCTAAAGAAAGCCTGCAACCTGAATCTCCTTAGCTCTCGCCTGGGTTACACCAGATCCGCCAGATCACTACTTTGGTGGAACGCAAAGAAATGGCAGTACCCCAAGCTACCTGCCTATCATCACAGGGCTTAGATCACTGGGGCTTTCTGAAGCACTCATGACTGTCTGTGGATGACCTCCTCGTTGTGATCTGCCAGTCATCTTAGGTTCTGTATTGCACCCTTGGGTCTCTGAGGGCAGACCTGAGTGCATCCAAGGCTTCAGAATCTAACTATCCACTCTGTGGCCTCCGCTCCAGCCTTTACCCACCACCCAATAAGACTGGAAGCTAGACCATACTTAACTCCATCTCCCTTATCCAACGTGTGTATTCTGTCAAACGCTCCACAGTCTAATACTCATCTGTCCAGAGCATCCTGTCTGTCTGACCTCCGTGCTTCCATTTGCTTAGTTTCTGTCCACACAGCTTCACTGGGCTCCTACCCAGCACTTCCATTATCCACCTGGTCCTTCTTCTCCAAGTTACCTGTCGTATTTTCCAGGAAGGTCAGGTCCTTAGCAATTGAAAGTTCTACTTTGCCTTCAGTGGCAGGAGCTGCTGCTGTCTGCGAGTCACCACCACCCGTCACTTATCCCTGGGCTGTTGCAGGCCCTGAAAACACTGTGCTTCCCTGCTGCTTGCTGTCGCTGCCCTCTCCCGGGTTCTTCCATGATCTCCTATTACTGCTTCCCTCGCCTCCCTAGGGACTCATGTCCTCTGGGAAGGTATCTAGGAGACAGGCTACCTTCCTCAATACCTTCATGGGAGGCAATCCTATTTCTTTGTGTATTGTGTGTGCATATGCATGTGTGTACATGTATGTGGAAGTCAGAGCACAACCTCCTACATCATCTGCCTTGATTTTTATTTTTGTCTCACTATGTAGCCCTGACTGGTCTGGAACTCTCTAGGTAAAACAAGGCTGGCCTTGGATTCAGATAGACTGCTGGGATTAAAGGTGGGCCTGACAATGACCAGCCACCTTGGTTTTTGAGACAGGTCTCTCCCTGGCTGGAAACTCACCAAGCAAACTAGGCAGGCCAGATAGCAAGCCCCTAGAATCTGCCTGTTTCCACTTCTTCACAGCACTGAAATTACTGATAATGTGCTTTTCAATTTTTCCTGCTTGTGTGCGTGCGTGTGTGCCAGTACTGGGGAATGAACCCAGTGCTCTGAGAAGGCTCAGCAAACACTCTGCCACTGAGCCTCAAATATTCTACCACCACAGGTCCGTATGCCAAACTTTGTGTCTAATTTTGAATTAATAAAAATACAGTCCACCTTTTCTTTATGGGTGTTTGGAAATCTAAGGTAGGAAGAGACCCTTGTCGTGCCTGGCTAAACTACAGGGGAGGGAACGGTAACAAAGGAACCTGGAAGAGAGAAAAGGTCACGATCACAAAGTCGACAGCAAGGACAAAGTGATGTCATTTTAGCTCAATATTCCAATAACTGAAGTTTACAGTGTTGGCCCACCTAGATCCTGGGCTCCTGTGGATTTAGCAATCTACCTAGTGAACGCTTTTTATCTGCAGGATGCTGTTTGTGCTCCTCCTTGAATCATGTGATAATATCTGTACTTTTGAGAAACACAAAGGATGCATGTTCTCAGCAGTCCAGAATTAAACTGAAGTCAACAAAATGCTGAATAGAAAAGGCAGAAGTCACTGTGTGAGCCACGTCTGCCGTCAGACCTTTCTAAGGGATGTGGGTTTTCAGGATGGGAAATACACAACAGGCATTTGAAGCTGACTTCGGAGAGTAAGCGGATCCGGCGATCCGAAGGCTTAGAATATAGCAGAAAGAAGAAAGTGTACGGAGCTCGCGGGACCCTGAAGGGAAACGAGAGCAGGGAGTCTGTTGTGTCCCTTTCATCCGCAAACATTTCAAAGCATGACACTGGCGGCAGCAAAACCGCCTCGCGAAGGTACCAGAGCGTTGTCTCTTCTTCCAGGCGGGGACACACAGACAGGGAATGGCCTCTTACAGCACCAACAACTTTCAGAAGCATCACTGATTTTCCAGAGCAGCAAGGGGTGGGGGGCGGTGGAGAGGAACTAGCTCCTTCCACGACCTTTCCATAAAAACGGAGAAAAATCGGTGCTTTCAAAATCTTCTGGTGGCTTGAACTGAAACTTAAAAGGGGACTCTTCACCGGACCTAGCCCACCACGGATTATTATGTATACCGAGGAGGAGCCAAAGAATGGAGGACCGCGGCGGGCTACCGAGAGCCAAGAAGGAAATGCGGGGTGTGTAGTAGCGGGAGCCCAGGGCCTCCGGGTGGGTAGACAGTGTGCACGGCAGGGTGGGGTGTGGGAGCTGCAAGGAAAGCAGGTCTCCCCCGGGGGTTGTTTCGCAGCCGGGATTGTTTGGCTCGCAGCGGGGCGCTCCCCGGGGAGTCGCTGAGCAAAGGAGGGGGGCCGGAGGCAGCTGCCAGGAGCGCGCAGTGGGCTTCTAGGCCGCGGCCCGCGCACGTACGAGTGTGCACCGTGGGGAGGTTGCAGGGCGTGTGCACGGCACGGGCAGGACGCGCGCCGGTGCGTGCGCCAGGTTCAGGGCGCCCCTGCACAGAGGGCCAGCGCCGCCGGGCGAAAACGCCGCGCAGAGCCGGGACGCCGCGGGCGCAGACCCGGAGAACCCGGCGGCCGCGTAGCAGCACAGAGTTTGCGTCCCTTTAGTGGGCACGCTAACGCGCTCGGAGCCACAGAGCCCAGAGGCGAGGGGGCAAAAGAGCACAGGACGCACTCCGCCAGGCTTTCCGCGCTGACCGCGAACGAGAGCCAGCTCCGGGGAGAGGCGCGCGTCCGAGGCGCGCGAAGAACGCGCAGCTCGCACTCCCGCGCGCTCCCCGCTCGGTCTGGGCAACCACAGCGCGGGCGGGTATTAAGGGAGCAGGAGGAGGCGTGGCCTTGTTGGGACGAACCAATGGGCTCTGGCGTGGTGCCTGGAGGCGGAGCTCATGATCCGGGAGCTGATTGGCCAGATCGCCCTCCGGTATGCAGATACGGTGGGAGTCACGTGCCAGGGGCCGGTACGACTTCCTGTTGGAGGCCCACGCGGGGCGGGGCCGGGGCCGCGAGCGCCGCGTCTGGCTGGAGCGGGGGGAGGGGGGTTCTTGTCAGTTAGAGCAACAAGATGGCCGCGGTGGCAGCTCCGCACCTCAGCGCGACGGCCCCGGGAGCCGCAGCCGCCGTCGCCGACCGCGTCGCTGCGCAGCCCTGAGAGCCGCCCGGCCGCCCCGGCCGTCCCCGTGACAGGCCGTCCCCGCGCCGTCGCGCTCCCGCGGCCGCCGCCGCGGGCCCGCCCGAGCCGGAGCCCGAGGCGGAGGGAGCGGAGCGGCCCCGCGCTCAGCCGCCCGCCGCCGTTGCCGCCTCCTACCCGGACTGCGTCCGAGACCGAGGAACGGGGCGCGTCGCGGCGTCGCGGGCACTGGACCTGGACCTGCCGGGACGTGCCGCCGCCCACCCGCCGCCCGCGCCGGGTCTCGATCCCGCGGCGTCGGCACTGAGCGGGCCCCCACCGCCGGAACGCCTCCGAGGGCCCCGGGCGGCCGAGAGCGACTTCGCCACCGCCAGGCCCGCGCCGCCGGAGCCCCGCGGAGCCGCCGCCGGGGACGGAGCCCAGGTGAGCGCGCCGCCGCCGCTGCGCCCGGAGGTCTTCGGGGCCCTTTGTTCGGCCGAGCCGGAGCGCGGCGGCCCCGAGCGACCCGCGTGCGACGCCGGCCGGGGCTGACGGGCGGGAGGAGAGGCGCGGGCAGCGAGCGCCGGGCCGGGCGTGCAGCACCGGGCTTGGGGGACCCTGGGGTCGGACGCTGAGCTGTGCCCCCGCGCTCTCTCTCTTCCTCTTAAACTAATGCAGTGGATGAGATTCGGTCTCCCTGCACGGTCGTCTGCAGACCGTGTGTTTCCAAAGGGTGGCATACACCGATCCGCAGTGTGGCGTTGTTTAGCGAGCCGTACGCGACCCCGAGGGCCCCCTGCAGTTGTGAAATGAGGTGGATTTCTATGTAACGGTGTTGCAAACGGACACTGCGGAGTGCTGCGTGCGAGGAAGACCCGCCGCCGCCGCCACTGCAGCCGCCCCGGCCCCGTTAGCATAACTAAAGCCGAGCGCCCAGACGCCGCCTCTGCTTTTAGGGATGCTTGGTCCGCGCCTTCACCAAGTAGGTGAGATGTAGCGAAATGGCATCCGTAGCGGTTAAAACCTGCAGATGTGGACGTCAAGCGGTCCCCCACCCCACCCCCCTGTGCGTTGGCCGGGCCAGGAGACGGTTGGCGCGCGCGCGGCGCGTAGCTGGAGGAATCCTGATGAAGGATGGTGCTGGGATGCTGTGCGGGAGCCCTGGGAGGAGGAGCCGGCGGGGCTCTGCTGCACCTATGGCGTTCCGAGACATCTGACAGTGCTGATGCCTCCGTACGTAATTAGTTGAGTTGGCTCCAACCTTTGCCTTCGCCAGATGAAACCTCCATTTGAGTGGTCTGCTCGTTGGCTTCTGGGTATGAAGAGCAGATTCAAAACTCAAAATGGTGCACCGTTGATGGCCAGCTTGGGCATCATGAAGGAGTTACACGTCGGAATCTCCTGGCTGGTTTGGGCCATTGTGTTGCCCAGCTTCTGGGTGGTGGTTGTTGTTTTGTGGGTATCTAGTGTGCACATTAACCGGCTTGAACCAATTACAGTCAGTCCACTCATGACCACATTGCTGAATGGCACGGTGTTATTCTATGCAGTTTCCTGTCTTTGGACTGGAATGACTATATGAATGAATTGAGACCTTCAGAACGTGACTCGAGTGACTTTAGAGGACAGTTTGAACTGTGTGGGGTGCTGACAGTTGTATTCCTGGATTGCAGGCTTTCTTCCCTACGAAATGAGAGACTGAGTTAGATAGGACAACCCAAGCCAGTTGAACTTGTCTGTCAGAGGGCACCTTGAAGAAAATTACATTTTTCCAGAACAGAAGAGGTGAGCCTTGCTTTTGACATTTTAGTGTGGCACCTACTAAGATTTTTTTTTAAAGGAAATTTATGCACAGTGAGGCTTTTAAAATGCAGGGTTCTGTTACATTGACTGAATTGATTTTATTGTTCACAGGAGGTCAGTAGTTGGGACTTTGTTTACCCATACTGAAAAGATTTTTTTTTCTTCTGCCGAAATATTTCAACATTTGCATTCTCATAAGGTTCTTAAGAGTCAGCCGAGCGATAGTGGCACACACCTTTAATACCAGCACTAGGGAGGCAGAGGCAAGTGGATCTCTGTGAATTTGAGGCCAGCCTGGTCTACACAGTTTCAAGACAGCCAGGGCTACATAAAGAACCCTGTCTCAACCCCTTTCTCAAAAGATTCTTAGAGACTATTTTTATTTCATATTTTGAATAATGAGAAATTAATAGTTCAGGAAGTAATAGTTGAATGTATGCATCCTACACTTGTGATATAATCATATAGATCTGATTTTTATACTATAGATTTAAATCATGCCCCTTGTCCAAAGCAACCTGTCACTGACCTCCCTCGTGCTAGTATGGTGTAATGTTAAAGCTTTGACCCTGAGATTGGCAAAGGATTCCACTTGGGATTCTGTTGTTTAAATGTTTTGGTGGTTGTTGGGACTCTTATAAATGCTGTTCCTCCTCTTGATGTTTAGTGTTGGGTTGTCACAAGTGGCAGATAAACTTTAATAAAGGATTGTTTTGTGGCAGGATAATATTTATGCTTAATTAATTGACTTGGCATTTTGGAGTACTGGTTATGCAGGAGTAAGAGGCATTGTTTCATTTGACGTCATTGGCTAAAAAGCAGCCAAGCCATTTGGAGACTACTTGAAACTTTAAAAGACAGTATTCCTCATTGCTGCCACTTTTTTGTTAAGCAGTGTCCTTTACTGAGATAATTGTGTGCTTTCTCAGATACTATTACCCAGAACTAAGCCCAGGAGGAAGTCAGGAGTGGGATGAGAGACTTTTTCTTCATTGAAGGAAGCTTTGTGTGAAAGATAAAATTTCTGCAAGAATTGAGTGTATTACCCCACCTGTTCATATCCACGAGTTGGGGAGAAGGGGGTCCTGCCTGTGAAATTATTCTTGCTGGACCCAAGATGACATGGGGGAGGGTGAGAGTAGTAAAACTGCTTTTTTGTGATTTGATTTGACTTGTTACTTGTCTTTGGCTCCATTACAACCTAATATGTTGAGGCTGAAGAGCTGTTTTGTAGACTGCCACCTTCTCCAGTGTGAATTTGATCCCTGGAGGGAGGGGTGTCTGAGCACACGAAGACTGTTTACAACTCAGTCTGGCTTACTGTGCAAAGGTGATACTTGAGTAGGTAGATGTTATAGGAAAGGAAATCAGTTGTAAGGCTAAGACTGTTAGATTTACAAATAGCGTCTGAGACAGTGGTGATTTGGGGTTGAAGCTAGCAGAGAAAACTTGGTTTGAGGAAAGCATGAAAAGGAGGTGGCGAGGGGAGGCTGGATTTACAGCAGTCCTCGGAGCAGGAGAGATGTGGGTGGAGAGAGTAAGAGGCAGAGCCCCCAGCAGGCAGGGCTTGGAAGGCTCTAAATGAGCTAAGCCAGGTGACTGGTTTTGTCCAGTTGTGTTTGGTTTCCTTTGACTGAAATTACTTTGAGACAGTCAGACTTTTACTTCTTATTCAGGCTTTCTTTCAGCAGGCCTTGCTGTGTGTGTAGGTGAGCAGGAGGGAAGTCTCTTGAGAGATGATTAGCAGGTGATGAAGCCTCTGTCAGGATAAGTGGCTTCAGTGAAGGGGACTTAACAATACTTAACATCTTAATCACCTTGTTTGAAGACATCATAGCTTTGAGAGGAGAGTGGAGCGTCATCTGTGAACTAGTCAATATTTGGGGGTAGATTTTTTTTTTTTTTTACAGATTTACTTTTTTTAAGCCAGTTTGATTATGCAAATTTCATTTTTACAAATTGACTTTTAAATACTTGTTGTGAGGAGAGTGTTTCTTATAAAATAATATACCTTTTAAAAATAGACTTTAACACATAAATGTGTTCCTGTTGATAAATTGTCAGGTTATACACAGTTTTTCAAAAACATAATTATTTAAAAATACGAAGATTACTTGTCAGAAATGATTGTGTAGCTTTGCGGAGAATGCATGTAAGTGATGTGGGACAGAGAAATGGAGCATGTTTGGTTTATTTTTCACCCTCCACTTTGCTATAGCATGGTTTTACATGTTCAGGGTGCTGTGTAACTCCGTATACTTTGTGCCATTTTTGGAATTGCGCTAAAGTGACTTCTTGGCCTCAGATGCTTCCAGAGACTGAAGAATCTATGCAGAGATGGAGAGCTGTTTGCTAATTTAAGAATGCATTCCTCCCATGTAGCCCTCAAAACACTACAGAGCTGTGTGCAGAGCTAGACAATCTGGGCACCCAGCCATGAAACATCCCTGAGGCAGCTCAGCCAGTGTGCACACTCTCCTGAGCCTGCCTTCCACAGCTGCACACCACAACAGCAGGAGGAGCCTTGTGAAAGCAGCCTTCCTGCTCATGAAAATCCTGCGACTCTTGGAGTTCCAGCTATGATACAGTTGTGATTAAGAGTGGACAAAAGTGTGAATTCTGAAGTCAAGTCCTCTTGCAGGCCAATGAATTCAAATACTTTCTCTAGGAATTAGAATGTGGAGTTGTCACCACTCCCTTCCCTTTTCCTATTTGTTGCAACACATCTTTCCTATTATAAACACTTGAGCTCACCTGGCCATGTATAGTCTTAAGACTGAGGAGTTCTTTGGGAGATGAGTTCCCCAGAATACAGGCTAGGTTGGTCTGATGGGCTTTGCTTTCCATTTGCCTCTTCATAAACCTTTCTGCCACAACAATTTTTTTTTTAAATTAGCAGTTCATTGCCATTGAAGCTGATAGCATTCTTTGTAGCCATCATCTTTTTGTATATTAAATAATCCTCCAGGAGCCTTCAAACGCCTAAACAGATGCCTCATTTCTCAATCTGAAGACCTTCTCTGTCTTCCTTCTTTAGACCTTCTGGTAGAGAATATTCTTTGTACAGTCATGCTTCCTGCCTCAGAAGGGTTGAGCTGTGGACCTCCAGTATCAAAGCATCAAGTCAGATTATTCTAAAAAGCCAGGAAACTTTCACAGCAAAAATTACTTGGTTGTCTTGAGCCTGTATTGTGTACTGTTTATTCCCAAAGATCATTTCTTTTTAATTACTCTTTGAACTAAGTAGGAGAATCCAAGTTAAAATAGCAAGCTTGAATTAAGGTAGATCTGTAAGTGGGAGCTGCTGACCAACTCAGGCCCCATGGATTGCCTTCCTTTTTTTTTGGTTTTTCGAGACTAGCTCTGTAGACCAGGCTGGTCTCGAACTCACAGAGATCTGCCTGCCTCTGCCTCCCGAGTGCTGGGATTAAAGGCGTGCGCCACCATCGCCAGGTTTATGGATTGCCTTCTTGCTGAGACGAGATTAACAGAAGAGTTGTTCAGGAGCTGTGGAAGAGGAGTGCAGGAGTATTCCTTGGGTCGTGTGCTGTTTTCTCACAGTCTATATGAAATAGGAAATACTGGGAATGAGGAAGAGTGCAAGGAATAGTCTTCATAAGCTTTGTTCTCAATGAAGGAGG